CATCAATGTCCTGCCCTGGCCTGCTCAGTCGCCAGACTTGAACCCGATTGAGCATGCATGGGATATGCTACAGAGAAGAGCTCTGCCGAATATGGAGGGTATCCAGTCGCAAGAAGACCTTTTTTTGTTGTTGCAACGAACATGGGCGGCCATTCCACAGCGTGATTTGGATGAACTCATTTTGAGTATGCCAAACCGATGTTCTTGTGTTGTTAGTGTTCGCGGTAGAAATACGGATTATTAATTGTTTAAGTTACCCAATAAAATTTTAGAGAAAACTGTTATTTCAGTCTTTTTTTCGAACTTTTGTGTTAGTGGTTCAAATGTCAAAAATCCCTTTATTAGGAAAATGGCAAATTTCTTTATTAATGCAAAGGTGACTTGGTTTATCGTTACTGTGACAAACGAAAACACTTTATTTGATGAATCCTTAAAGAAAATTTTAATTAATATCAATCAGGAGAAAAGTTATTGCAAAAATATATGTTGATCCCTAGACACTTTTGATGTGTGTAGTTATAAACAAAAATACGGTAATAAGGAATATTCCAAGACGAAAAATATTAATGAAACCTTGGATGACACAGGGACTTCTTAGGTGTGTACGTCATAGAGATAGGTTACATAAATCGTTGAAGCAGTATCCAAATAATGAAGTTTTAAAAATAAGTTACATTCGATATAGAAACTTTTGTAATGCCTTATTGAAAAAAATAAAGAGAGCTTATGATCGGGAACAAGTAAAAAAAGCAATAATAAAAAAATTTGGAGAGCAGTAAAAAGTATTACAAATACCAATAAAACTTCTGAGTATCCCAAAGATCTTTTAACTATAGCGTCTACTCCAGAATATGCTGTTAATTTAATAAATGATTATTTTGTAAGTGTAGGTAAAAACTTAGCAGAGGCAAATGCTGGTTCTAGTGAAAATAATATATATTATGCTCCTGTTGAAAATAACACATATTCTAGTAATTCCTTTGTTCTTCTGCCAACAGATGAGCAAGAGGTAGGCAATCTTATATTGGGCTCAAAGGTGGATTGTGCGGTGGGTTGCAATGGCATTTCAAATTCATTCCTCAAAGATTTCCGTTCCATTTTAGTTGCACCACTTACGTTCATTTTCAATATGTGTTTAAATTTAGGCATCTTCCCTAAAGCAATAAAAAGGTCAGTTATACGTCCAATATACAAAGGTGGTAAGAAGGATGTAATTAGTAACTACCGGCCTATTTCAGTTCTGCCCGCTATATCCAAAATTCTAGAAAAGATAATTAATAACAGAATAGTTGACTTTTTAGAAAACTCTGGCATTTTAGTTGATTCTCAATATGGTTTTAGAAGAGAGAAAGCTACTGAGGGAGCAGTACTGCAGCTAACCGACTTCGTTCAAAAGAACCTGGACGTCGGTAGGAAGTGCCTTGCCATTTTTCTAGACCTTGCCAAGGCATTTGATACCGTTTCAATACCACTGCTCTTACAAAAGCTAAATAATGTGGGAATCAGGGGGACTCAGTGGAATCTACTTAAAGATTACCTTACAGATCGTCTGCAACATGTGCAGGTGGGCAACTATCGTAGTTTGGATCAGCCAGTGACTTATGGCGTTCCACAGGGGAGTATTCTGGGGCCAACTCTGTTCCTTATCTACATAAATGATATCACCCACAATCTACCTTTGGAATCTGGAAAACTTATATCTTTTGCAGACGACACTGTTTTAATATTTGCAGAAGATACGAGGGAAAAAGCATTTGAATTAGCTCAAAATGGTCTTAATAATGTCTCAAATTGGCTTCGAAACAATTTACTTTCACTGAATACCGACAAAACAAATTATATATGTTTTTCTATAACCAATATAAATAAAATTTCGGATTTGCTATCAATCAAGGCTCACCAATGTTCGCAAGACAATATAGATAAATGCAACTGTAATACTTTAAAACGAGTAAGTGAGTTTAAGTACTTGTATTCTAATAGATCAAAACTTGACTTTTAAAAATCATATTTTTTCATTAAGTAGAAAAATTAACAAATTAATTTATATATTTAAAATTTTAAGACATACAGTTCCACCTAAAATTCTTAGACAAACGTACTTGGCTTTCTGTGAATCATTAATATCGTACTGTGTTATAGTGTGGGGTCTAGCTTGTAAAACTATAATGAAACCTATTGAAGTTGCCCAACGCGCTGTTTTGAAAATAAGTACTTTTCGTCCTTTCTTCTTCCCTACCTATACTCTCTATCAAGACTGTAATGTCTTGACTGTAAAGCAGCTAGCTATACTTGCAATAGTCCTCAAACAACATAAAGAACTTCATTATGATCCAACAATTTGTAACAAACGGAGACAACATAAAGTTTGTAATCAAATACGCCTCTTTCGAACAAATTTTGCACAAAGATCTTATGCTTTCTATGGCCCTTATCTATATAATTTTATAAACAAAGTAATTAACATCTATAACTTAAACTCAAGCAATTGTAAATTAACTCTAATAATCATTATCATTTTTTAAATGGCTACTTAACCTAAGTTACGATGAGACTGAAGAACTACTCTGTATAATTGCATAACTACATAGTTGTTTATGTAATATTAATTGCATTGAGGTAGATTATCCATATGTAAAATTTTAAATGTTTTGCATGTCATAGATATACGTATATTCTTTTAAACTATTTTTAAGTGGTATCTTTAGTGATTTCCTGTTTTATTTATTTTTCTTCTCTGTTCCTGGAAATAATGCTTACAGTTAATAATATTTATGACTCTAATGTTAATGAGTCAAAACTATGTCTATTTCCTTGTATATACTGAATCGACATCTTTTTGTGGGAATCTAATGACCTGATATACAAGCATTTTTATGCTTAGTTTAGGCGTCAGTCTCTCACAAAGTTCTACATAGCTAATTAAATAAATACCATAAGGTTATTATACAATAAGTGTTTAAAATGTATTTGTAAACGGAGGAGAGTTAAATAAATAAATAAATAAAATAAAAGAAGAGACTTACCTTCCGAACCATGGGTTGACATAGCGATTGACCTCATGGGTCCCTTACCTAGTGGAGATTATATCCTGGTAGTAGTAGATTATTACACCAGATACAAAGAGGTGCAAAACATGCAGAACCATTACAAGCTCCGAAATAATCGGAATGCTTAAAGACATTTTTAGCAGGCTCTCGCTTACAGCAGATAACGCGAGACAATTTTCCAGCGAAGACTTTAAGAGTTTCTGTGCAGAGAGGAACATACGACTCTATAATACCATTCCCTACTGGCCGCAACTAAACGGAGAGGTGGAACGCCAGAATAGGGACATCCTAAAACGCCTCAAGATTTCTCAAGTAGAGATAAAGAACTGGAAAGAGGCTATTCGTGAATACATGGTGATGTACAACAGTACACCTCACACAGTTACAGGGAAAACACCTGCAGAACTATTCTTTAGGCGACAATTTCGGGACAAACTGCCTATGATTCAGGACATGACGCATCTCTCAGAGGACCTGGAAATGAGGGATAGAGATAAAAAACTAAAGGAAAAAGGGAAGGAATATGCGGACATGAAGAGAAGAGCTACTGATTGTGAATTAGAAGTTGGAGATAAAGTGTACGTCAAGAATATGACTAAACAAAACAAGCTGAGCTTAAACTACGAATCCGAAACACATACCGTCGAAGCAAACAAAGGAGGAAACGTAAGTCTTCGGAATGATGAAACTGGCCAGCGAATCAGACGAAACGTCGTACACCTAAAACGAGTGGAAGGACAATGGAAGGTGCTAGATGGTGAGAATAATGCTAGTGATATTAAAACAAATGATAATGGTGATGTAAATCAATCATAACTCGAGTGAACAAATTGATGGACAATAATAAAACTTTTGGTGATTATTATCAATGTATTTCCTTTGTACATTAACCTGACCACAGTTCCTTAAGATATCTATATTTATATTTTAATATAAAAAACAATAATAAGGGAGGGATGTAGTGTATAGACACTCATAGTTGTGGTTAACCACAGACATACAGTCTGTGTGGATAACTCTGTCGTCTCGAGCAGCGCACGCGCGGGGTCGCGGGGCGGGGGCAGGAGAGGCCGACCGACCGCGGTGAGGAGAAGACGAGTGTACGCTGGCTGCGAGCCGATATCGTTCACAGATTAAGTACTAGTTACATATTGTTATAGGTGTTCCTTGTTCTCTCTGAATATTAACTTGGGTCATAGTGCACATTACAACATTATGGTTTAAAATCAAATCAAATAGTGCGCGTTTTCGCGACTTCCTATTACTCACTTCCGTCCCATTTCACGAAATCACTCTCACAAATTACAGGAAAACGAGAGGAAAGATATTCACTTCAAAAAACCCTTAGCTGTAAGGACATAAGATCTTAATTTTCTTAAGCATGTTGAGTGATGTTTGTCTTAAGGCAGGATGGTGTCGCTAGTGCTTCGTAATTTTTGATAATAAAACATTTGGCCGTCATAATCAAACAAACCTAAAAAAAGAAAGAAGAAAGTAAAGGAATAAGATCGTTATTTGTTTCATTCAGTGTACTGCGTGATGTTTTAAAGTGCCGGAAGCTTGGAGAGATGCTAACGTGCAACCGGTACCCAAAAAAGGGGATCGCTCAGACCCGGCTAACTACCGGCCAATAGCAGTCACCTCAGTATTATGTAAAGTCCTAGAAAAGGTCCTTAACAACCATCTGACCCGCTACCTAGAGGATCACTCCCTGATCAATGATCGTCAATATGGTTTTAGACCGAAACGATCGACGGGTGATCTTCTAGCGTACTTGACTCATATCTGGGGTGAGGCTATCGACAAGCGAGGCGAGTCGTTGGCTATTAGCCTTGACATTGCCAAGGCATTCGACAGGGTCTGGCACAAAAGTCTTCTCTCCAAGCTTCCGGCATACGGTCTGCCGGCCCAGTTCTGTTCTTGGGTAGCTGACTTCCTGCATGAGCGTAGAATAGGCTAGTTTACTCATGTCGAATTGTATTAAATAAATGTTTATTTCTTAAAGTGTTTAGTCTAAGGAACCTATATATATCGATTTCACTTCATAAAAGCAGAAGATTGCTGTAGAAATTTAATTTTAAAAAATATTTTTTAGTCTATATTTTATAAACACTAAAAACGCTGTTCGCCGCATTCGCCATGATTTTGACGTCTCTTGTGGTAAACAACTAAATGTCATTCGCGTGTTACTGTAGGTGGATTCTTTCGTCTGACTAAATTTATCTTAAAACACTTTTAACCTTAGGAAAGAAAAAAACAGTAAACTTAGTTTTTTTTGACTAAACAAATTATGGATGCCGGCTTTGTGAAAGCAGAAAGCACAAATCTGCCAAGAATTGACGCATTGATGGTTGGTGAATTTGTTGCACTAAACCCCGATTTCTGCTCTGCGGAGCAGAAAAACGACAAGGCATCTATGTAAGTACCGTGCATTTAGTATTACAATGTAGTAATAAACATAAAACTGATACAACATATGAATAAGTGTAATAAAGTTGCGTAGGTTAATTTCTTTCGGCACTTTAATCCACAACTTTCCTGGAGTCTTCAAGGATGTGTTTTTATATTCTCGTACAATACAGTAATGATAATTACTTTATTTTTCGTGGTATTTATTAGAAATCATGTTTTTTTATATTATAAACTCAGTTATAAGTAATTTTCTACGTGTTTACGAGTTTTTGTTTACCACAGTTCACGTCATAGCATAGACAATCTATAGACTAAAATGGCCGACAGCGTTTTTGTATGTCCATGAAAAGTCTATTTTAAAATTAAAGATTTGTAGCTTTCTAGGTTTAAAAAAAATACAATACATTTTTTTTCGGTCTAATAGAACATTTATTAACCATTTAAAACCTTTTTCCAAAAAGGGTCAACTAGCCTATTCGTGTCCTTACGGATGGTAGCAGTTCGCGGTTCATGTCAGTGAATGCCGGCGTTCCCCAGGGCTCCGTCATATCCCCCACTCTCTTTCTGCTGCATATCAATGACTTAATTCCTCTTGGGAATATTCATTGCTATGCAGACGATAGTACAGTGCATGCGGGGTATCTCGGACAAGCAGCGGCTGGGCAGGCGGTAACCAAGGAGAAACAGGAGAATCTTGTCATTGAGCTTAATCAAGCTTTGGACCACATTTCTGTATGGGGTACCAAGAACTTGGTTGAGTTCAATGCTAAGAAAACCCAGGTCTGTGCTTTCACGGCAAAAACGTCGCCATTCCTTTTATGTCCTTCTCTTCAGGGCACAACACTGGAGCTAGAGAGCAGTATCACCATGCTCGGTATGGAGATTCGCTGTGACTTAAATCCAAAGAATTACATCGAAAGTGTGATAAAAACAGCCTCACGCAAACTCGGAGTCCTGAACAAGGTGCGGCGTTTTTTCACGCACGAGCAACTGTGCTTGTTGTATAAGACGCAGGTGCGGTCTTGCGTGGAATATTGCTCGCACCTCTGGGATGGCTCCGCTAAGTACTTGCTCGATGCTTTGGATAGGTTACAGCGGCGCGCAATCCGCATCATAGGCGATGAGGAGGTGACTAAACACCTCGAGCCTCTTCAATTACGCCGTGACGTGGCGTCACTAAGCGCGTTCTATCGCCTACACCACGGCGAGTGTTCTGAGGAGTTATTCTCTCTTATTCCACCTTCCCCTTTCCTTCAGAGGACCACGCGCGCTGGCTTACGTTGTTACCGTCTAACTGTGGCTACAATTCCAACGCGTACAAAGAAATTTGGTGACTCATTTCTTTGTCGTACTATCCGTAAATGGAATGCTCTGCTCGCTCACGTGTTCCCACCCTCTCACAATCTGGGATCCTTTAAAAGAGGCGTGAAGAAGCAACTTGCAGGCCGGCAGGGTGAGGATGGCTGGTGTGGCAGTTAGAACTGCTGTATCAGCTATCTTCGCGTCTGGACTTCACCTTCACTTAACATCAGGTGGGGTGGAGTCATTTGTCGGATCTATCTATAAAAAAAAAAAAAAAAAAGTGATGGTGTAATGTTTCATTCTGTCGACTGATGTGTGATATGACATTACAACTTCGCTTGATATCATATAATATACGCGCATTACTTACACATGTCGAGACTACGGAGTTTTTGGCGCGATTTCATCGAGTGCGGTTGGCGTATTATTTTAATTATTCTTAAATTCGAGCATAGTGGATATTGTGAAAGAAAATAGGTGTGATTTTGTGTTACAACCGTCTGCGCAAAAAGAAGAAGAATTGGTGGAATCTTTAATACATGCGCTGTTCCGGTCAAGTGGACGTGGGAACTTTATTGTAGGGTTGACTACCTCACAGAAGCTTAGCGAAAAAGCTAACTCAATACATTTCGTGCCAAAAACTCCAAGAATCATTAGAATGAGTCACACTGACATTCTAATGTAAAAAAAAAGAAATTAATAAAACTTACGACTAGGCTGTATGGGCATTGTTCCCTTTACCTTCCCTGAAACAGATTTTTAGACCACAAACATCCCCCTTTTACTGAAACATAGGAAAGGGGGGATTGACTTGACTGCCACTTACTTTGACTAGATTTGTTACTTTGACCACAGGTGCTTTAGAATTTGTAAACATTTTAACCAACGATATTAAATACCCTAGATACACCACGTGCGCTCAATATGTGTCCCTATCAAGAAGTGCTTGAACACGACTCAAGCATCAAGCACTTCTTGGTTCACAGTCACGCGCAGATTGTTGAAAAGTCAACATACTGCTGAGCTCCGTGAAAAAATGCGAAATAAATACTTATAGTATGTAAAATGTCGATTATTCGACAAATATCTAATCAATGTTTGTTAATTTAACGCATTTAAAGCAAATTTTGTTTTAATACTTACTATAAACTGATTTAATAGAAAATATTTGTGATATTCAAATGCATGGTCGGTAATATAGCCGTCTCTTTTCTTCGCGGTCTGTACCTGCTATATTTAGCAACAGCGCATTCAGAATTGCGCGTAGAATCAAAGAAATAAGGTCTATATTTTTCCGCATATAGCATTAAGTCGTAAAATTTTACGAGCTTACATCTCGGACGGTCTTATCTCTTTGATGCATGCGTTTTAATTAAGACCTTATATAGTGTGCTTTAAAGGTGGTTTTCTATGTTTAAATAATGTCTGATATTTTTGTACAGTTTGTCTATAAAGTCGTGACATGAATGTTTGCGGAACTAACATTATTCATGTGTCTGGAAACACCAAACTTATGTACATCAGCTGTCATCGAGTTTCAGTTGTGGAACAGTTTTCCTTTTGTATTTTTTATTGTTTGGATTAAACTGTAATAAATTAAGACGAAACTACGCAGAAAAGTATAAAAATGAGTAAAGTAAATCGGAGTGGCACGCGGGAAGTGATTTTTAAAGTTTTCCAGCGATGTTTCGAAGACTACCAAGCTGGACGAATTTTGTGGGATTTGGATAATGTTTATGGGCGAACAGCATCTATGACGGGTATGTGTAACTATTTATTTGTAATCTGCCTGAAGTTACAAATAGAGTTACGATTTTGAGACCAAAAAAGGCATTGTTTACATTGCACATTTTTAGGTTAGATTGACATTGTAAATAGGTAATATTGTAGTACGACCATTTCTTTTGATACGTTATTATGGTTCAACTCGGTCACGTTTTCTACCAATTTTGAATTAATTCAAAAAATGTCTCGCTATCTTTTTAGATCTTGCGAAGGCGTTCGATACGGTCTCGGCCCAAATCCTTTTGAAGAAAACGGACTTTTTAGGGGCTGGAATTTTTTGGGGGTTCTTTTAGGGGCTTTTAACAAAACTTGCAATTAAATCGAAAAACAAAGCGTGTGTTTTCTTTTAGTTTTGTGCATAGAATGGAATGCATCGCGATATGTAACGACTGAACTGACTGTGTGGCGGTTTATTTCCTAATGCTGTATGGATTAAATTTCTTTGCCTATCACCAATGGTTAAATAATAAAACAAAACATAACAATCATGTTCGTTCTTTCATTAGTTTACGTCATACTCACGGCTCATCATTCATTTTTGTTATTCATTCAATAATTCACTGTAACTAAATAAGAAACGTTTTAATTTAGGAGCAACGAAAGAATTTAGGTAATAAGTAGGTACATATAAAATTCTATATTTAGGGGAATTTGAAAAATACTTAGGGCAAATTTTTGGTAAGGGTTGGTAACACTGAGACCACAAACAAAATGTTTTGATGAATGAACAATGAATAAAACCTGTTTTGAAAATCAATCTGTATTTTTATTATTAAATTACATTTCCTCTGTGCAAGGCGCTGTGTAAATTTTACTTTTCAGTATTTTTTTTGAGGTGCTTCGTAAAATTCAGTATTTTCGTAAAATTTATTCTGGTCACTATGCTGAGCAACTAATCTTTATTTATCAGAGTCCATTCAATTTGCATGTTATTTCAGTTAAGATGAGTAAACGCAAAAATCCATGTGAAGGTAAGGGAAATGCCGACTTCTGCGAATTTTTAATAGAATTGGCGGAATATGAAAGAAATGTAAATCGAAATATACACAAATATAATGCATACAGAAAAGCCGCTAGCGTTTTGGCTGCACACCACAAAAGAATCGAATCTGGTGATGAGGCAAAGAAACTCAACGGTATTGGTGAAAAAATTGCAAGAAAAATTGACGAATACCTTCTTACGGGAAAATTAAAGAAATTGGAAAACATACATCATGATGCTAGTGCTCAAGCAATAAATCTCTTAACGCGAGTATCAGGCATAGGTCCCGTGAAAGCAGCGGAGCTATATAGATGTGGCATTGCAACCATTGAGGATTTGAACAAAAACCAAGACAAACTAAACCATCACCAACTTATTGGTCTCAAGTAAGAGTATAATACCCTTCATATGGGAAAATTAAAGAATTATATAAAGTACCTATCTACAAAATTTTATGTTGTTAAAGTGAGTATATTTTGCAGATATTTTGAAGATTTTGAAAAGAAGATACCCAGGTCCGAAATCAAGGATATAGAAAATAAGATTAAAACAACAGCAAAAGTATTAGATCCTGAATATACTGTCACAATATGTGGCAGCTACAGGTTTGGGCATATGTTAAGAAACTTTAATGAAATATTTTTGATAGAGCGGTCTAAGTAAATTAATTTTTTTTGATAATGCAGACGTGGAAAATCCGAGAGTGGTGACATTGATGCTCTAATAACACATCCTGCACTGTGTGGATATAAGGGAAACAAGAAAAATGAAGAAAAGCTACTACAAAATGTAGTTGATGCTCTGAACAATGGACTAGTTACTGAAGTTATATCTGTTGGAGAAACAAAGTTCATGGTTACTTTATAAATATTAACTTATCACTTAATAATGGTTTTCCGATAGAGTAACTATGATAACCTTACCTGTAAATTTATTAGGGTGTATGCCGCCTATTACAAGATTTGCCAGCTCGTCGCCTAGACATCCGTTTGATACCCACTGACCAGTATTACTGTGCTATGCTATATTTCACGGGCAGTGACGTTTTCAACAAGACAATGAGAGCCCATGCACTAGAAAAAGGCTTTACACTCAACGAATATTCATTACGACCAGTAGGTGTTACAGGTAGGCTTAATTCACTTTCCTAATCTCAATGAAGGAACAATAATGGCTTTGGTAAGTGTTATTTACCCTTTGTATAATTGAAATTATTAATTTGAAACTATACAAATTTTTGTTAGAAAATATTTAACTCGCCTAAAGCTGGACTTTATACCATGTGTTCTGAAAAGCTTATCAAAATCACTAACCGCTATGCTACTGAGACCTTAATAGATTTGTCGAATTAATTCTAGTATTTATTAGGTTGCTAGGCAGCGTCACCGAGCGTCGTCGTCGTGTCAGCGTCCGCGCAATATCCGATGCCAATGCTGACCGGCTGCCTAATGCACTGCCGTCGCTTTACCGTGGCGCCTGTCGCCTACAATCAGTGTGAAATGGATTCTGACGAAGAAACTACTGAAAAACCAATAATTACGTAAAAAGGAAACATCATTATCAATATTGAGAAGATCCTCTATAGAGTTTAGTAGTTCAGGAAACTTATTTTATTATTATTTAGCGATTATTTCGTCAAAATTGCGCGAACGCTGGCACGACGACGGCGTTCGAAAGATGCTAGTGTGTGTGTGTGTGGGGGGGGGGGGTGGTCTTAGTTGGTTTGATTAAAATTTTAAGTTTTTTTAGGTGTGCCAGGAGAGCCAGTGCCCATTTCATCTGAAGAGGAAATTTTCGACTATATGGATTATCCATACAAAGCCCCTCAAGACCGAAATATGTGAAAATAAATAATAATGCTGTATTTATTCATAATATTTTATTATTTCTACTTTATCACAAGATGTAGCAAACTTACGACTATGTTTGATTAAGTAAAAAAATATGTATCTTTATTACCGCTACCCTAAGCGTGAGTGAAGTGTGAACGTCTGACGTGCCGACTCGTGTCCGAGCCAGCGCTCTTCATACACCGGTACAACAGAGATATAGCGCGGCTCCAAAGTGTTCTGTGGCGTCAGAACACTTGGTATGACATAGGGAGGTGGTCACTGTACAGGGCGACATCAGTCGGTGGTGATAATCATGGGATTTACTAGACCCTGGGTATCCTACCGGATGAAGTCGAAAAGGTCTTGGGGTGGGAGCGACGTGTATCGTACTTGCTAGGCTCAATAAACGTGCGATTCTACCCCAAAACCCAATCCTCTGACTGAGATGCACAGACCGATACCCCGAATACTGCACCGACGCAGACACACGGACCATGATGATAAGATGACCATGCATGAGGAGGAGATGGCCAAGGCGGCGATGGCTGAGGCCGACGCACGGAGTGCGCCACCCGTATCACCGGGGTAGACGGAGCAGCTGCTCGCCTCGTCGTCTATTGATGACCGGCGTAGGTTGGGGATGAGGGAGAGCCCTTTGATGGGTCGATCTACTCATAATCTAGTCGCACCGCCGTCATCGAACTGGTTCAATCCCCTCGAAATCATCCAGACCAACCTCCAGCACAGTCAGACTGCTACGGCTTGCTAACGCAGGCCGCTGGAGATGAACCCCGAACAATCGCACTGATTGAGTGACCAAGAGCCGTGGATCAGAAACAACAGAATATGTGGCCCCCATAACATCGGAGGTAAGCTAATTCTAGACACACAGGGCACAGAAAAGCCATGAACCATACGAACATTCCTAAAAATGTACCTAACACGACACACAATTCTGTTCCAGAGACCAAACTGCCGTCAGGATAAAAACCGAAGGCAACACACCCGACATTGTCCTAGCCTCGATATACATGCCGGGCGAGGACACAGACTTCCCACAACAAGAGATGACCGACCTGGTGAAACACAGCGAAGACGCTGTCATGGACATGGAGTGAACCTGGACGTGGTCATCTGCACAGACTCTAACGCTAGCTTCCGAAAGCGTGACAAATCTTATATCAAATTGGCACGTATCTGATGAGCCTTCCTGCTCTGATCGTACAAGAAATAGATTTTCACTAACCGCAGACACAAAAAACCCGGAACCCAGGCGCAACCCGCGCCGAACAGACGTGCCGTACAAACAGCTCCTGACCTCTTTGCTAACCGGGCACCAAACACTTCACCTAGAGGATACCAAACAATTAGAAAACAGCGTAACGAAACTCTCAGAATAGATTATTGAAGCTACCATGCCTGTGGCAAACTAAAGGATCTGGCCACAAAGGGCAGGGGTAACTCTTGGTGGAACAGAGCTTAGTAAACTCAGGCTAGCTGTGCGCAAACAATTCAACAGAGCCAAAAATTCCAGACTTCCAGAGGACTGGGACCTTTACAAAATAACACAATACACTTTCAAAAAACAAATCAGAAAAGCCAGCAGAGAAGCGTGGCGAAAACTCTGAGAATATATTGAATCTAACTGTTGTAGTTTTGTTATGGCCACATTACTATGATGGCAACCCTGTAAAAGACAGTCTGTGAAGCAAGTAATAATGGTGTACGACACTGAAAAGATCTGAAAGTATTATCTAGTATACGTATTATAATATTGTGATTGGAGTTCTAAATAAACGAGTACAATTATACTTTTCTTTATTGGAATAATCTACAAACTAGGCGACGAGAGCGGTGCGAAATCACGCAAAAGAACAGATAAGCGGCGGCGGGACGCCGGCTTTGGTAGTAATGGAGCGTTTGGAATATTCGGTGGGAGCTGCTGGGCCACAGTTCAGTCCCTTCTCCGCACCGAATACTACTGGCGAGCGATGGAAAACTGGGCTTCAGAATTTCAAGTATTATATTGAAGGTCAAATAGCGTTAAATGACAAACAAAAAGTGGCAAGGTTATTGCACCAGGCAGGTCCTAAACTGCAAAATATATACGAAATTTTGCAAGAAGAAGATGCTGAAGGTGAAAATGAGTACATTAAGTGTGTAAACAGGTTGAATTTATACTTTATACCCGAAGCTAATACTGCTATAGAATGTCAAAAATTTAGAAATTTGGAAATGAAAAATGAAACAATAGATGAGATTTATTAAAACTTAGAAGGCAATGTATGAACTGCGATTTCCCAAACAAGGACGAGATGTTAAGAGATCAAATTGTAGAGAAATGCAACAATATAAATTTAAAAAGAAAATTATTAAAAAGAGGCAGAGACCTGACCTTAGATTCAGCATTACAAATTTGTAGATTGTTTGAAATTAATAAAAATATGTTTCCAAAAATGGATACCGAGGAGGAAAACAGTGAATCAGATATAAATAAAATACAACAACGAGATGTTACTTGTTATCGATATGGTGGTAAAGGCCATATGGCAAAAGATGGACATTGTCATGTCCTGCATTAAACGAAAAGTGTATTAAATGTGGTATTAAGGGTCATTTTGCAAAATGTTGCAAGACAAGGCACAAGTATGATATTCCTTCTTCTAGTTCTAGCAAGGAGAAGACACTAAAAAGGAAAAAAGATATGTCAGGTATGTTATACAAAATGCATCAAGTTCAGATTCTAATTGTTCTGATGATAGTGATGAGGAGTGTGACAATAAAAAAAACTTACAGGTAAATTCCGTATATCAAGTGAGTAGCATTGATTGCACCAAGTTTGACATAGAGGCTGATGACAAATTAGTTTGCAAGTTTATTGTTGATTCAGGAGCTTCTATTAATATTATTGATAAAACTGTTTTTAAGAGTTTAATAAAATCAAAATTTTGTTTTAAACTTAAAATTGATAAATTGCAAAAGTATTACTCTTATGGAGCTAAAGAAATTTTAAGTTTAGTTATGTTTAGAACTACATTATACTCGCCTGATAGTAAAGTTAAAGTGACTGCGGATATTTTGGTTTATGATGGTCATGGGCCATCTTTGTTAAGTAGACTAACATCAATGCAACTGGGATTGTTACGAGTAGGACCTATTTCCCATGAGCAATGTAAGTCTCAAAAAATAAATTCTATTGATTACATACCTATTACCAAAGAGATGATAATGTAAGAGTATTCAGAATTGTAGGAAAGTTGAGAGATTTCAAGTTAGTTATACCTCTAGATCCGAAAGTAAAGTTAGTTGCTCAACCAGTTAGGGGACAACCCTTTAATTTGAGACATATTGAAGAAAAACTTATCAATGAACTACTTGACAATGACAATATAGAACCAGTAACTGGACCGACACCATGTGTATCACCGTCACACATTGTTAAGAAGAAAGAAAAGGATCAGTACCGGCTTGTGGTGGACATGTGGATGGCAAATGAGGCTGTTCTTAGGGAGCGAGTTCCACTTCCTTCTTTTGAATAACTTCTGGCCGATCTCAATGGATGCAGGTACTTCTCATCTCTTGATATTAAGTGGGGCTACCATCAATTGGAGCTGGATGAGGAGTCACGTGTAGTAACAGTTTTTAGTAGCAGCTTGGGTTTATTCAGATATAAAAGACTTTTTTGGTATTCGCTGTGCTTTGGAAATGTTCCAACGTATCCTAGCACAATTATTATAAGGAATTGATGGCGTTGCTAATAATCAAGATGATATTAGAATCGGCGGCCGTAGTAGGCAGGAACATGATGACAGGCTAAGATAAGTTTTGGATAGCTACACAGTAATGGTCTCACTCTAAATGACAAGAAATATTATTTTGGAGTAACTGAAATAACTTTTTTAGGCCATCATCTTTCTGAGAAAGGTATTAGACCTACAACAACGTCACAACAAATAATACAAGAGTTTAGGGCACCTCAGAACAAAGCAGAAGTAAGAAGTTTTCTAGGTTTAGTGAACTTCTCTGCTCGCTTTATACCCCATTTTAGCACGCTTACAGAACCTTTAAGGCATCTCACGAAGAAAGACACAGATTTTGAATGGAGTCAGAGTCAGAAACATGAAAATGTATTAAGGCAGTTGAAAGACCTTATCGTTAAGGCACCTGCTCTAGGATATTATGATAAGGAAGCAGAAACTACACTTGTTACAGAAGCAAGCCCTGTAGGAATTGCAGCTGTACTTATTCAACATCAGTCTATTAATGGTAAATTACAACCTATTGTTATTAAGTATGTCAGCAGGGCATTAACAAATACGGAACAAAGATATTCACAGACTGAAAAGGAGGCATTAGCAATAGTTTGGGCTTGTGAAACTCTGTACATGTATCTTGTTGGGAAAACCTTTACTATTGTGTCTGATCATAAACCTTTAGAAATCATTTATTCATCCAAGTCGAAGCCTAGTGCCAGTATTCAGCGTTGAGTTTTGCGACTCCAACCCTACACATTTAAGGTAGTATAAAGACCTGGTAAAACTAATATTGCAGATTGACTCTCACGGTTATTAAATACTGAAAATAAAGTACAAATCTCGGAAGATACAGAGAATAATTTATTATTAGCTATGGTTGAAACAAATATGGATGCAGTTACTATAGAAGAAATTGAACAAGCTTCGTAAAACGACACGGAATTGACCAAATTGAGGCATGCAATAGAAAATGATTTATGGTCTAAAGAATTGAGAAAGTATGAATTGATTAAATCTGAGCTATCTATTTTTAAAAACATTATATTGAGAGGAATGAGGATTATTGTACCCAAGGAGTTAACTGCAAGAATATTAGAAGCTGGACATGAGGGACACATATCTATTAACGGTATGAAAAGTAAACTAAGATAAACGGTATGAAAAGTAAACAAAGTATGGTGGGGTGGAATGGATAAGGACATAGAATATTGGATAGATACATGTAAAGGATGTCGCTTAGTAAGAAAGTATATGCAACCTGAACCTATTATTTCTTCTGAGTTGCGAAGTCACCGACATATCCGAGACGGACCTCTTCGGGAGATGCCACTACATAAACAAAAACACGCTTACTCCACAGGAAAATCAAAAGAATCTGCACTACACAATGTGATCTCGAAGATGGGACACTGCCCACTGAATAATAACTTTCACACCCTAGGTATCACTGACAGTCCCCTATGCAGAGCATGCATGGAGGCAGAAGAAACGGTGGCACATGTGCTCCTCGAGTGCACTGGTGTCGTCCAGATCAGCGAAGAGACTTAGTAAACCGGCATCCCTTGCGGATGCCCTGAGAAGTCTGGGAAGACTGATGTGCTTCTGGAGGGAGGTGGGCTGGCTGGAATAACCGGTCGCCATGGCTCACGCACACACTTCCACTTAAGGGACTTACATCTTTATTTATTATGATTCTTAGCTAAGGTAAGTTCAAAAGGTTTACAAAAGGAATAATCTAGTTGACTTTAGGTATGAACAGTTTGTTTTACTCGACAGATCAAAGATCTAAATTTCAAGTCATTGATCGATCAAGTAACAACCAGCCATTTAATATTTTTTTTTATATTCCTATACCTCCATAAAAGATCTTCAACACTCAAGCGGCCAGCAGAATTAAAACCCAAGGGAAGTATAAAATCTTGCAAGTACGGACCCTCAGAATCCAGACTGCGTCATATCCGCACTGTTATAAAATCAGTGTAGGAACAAACGCATAGATATCTAAAAGCAGCGTTATACACCACATGCATTTATATATTCAATCTAGAATCATAGAGTTCGCAATCACACCGCGAGCTCGCACTGTGTTATCATTTTAGCAGAGGACTAAACAGTTTTTATACTAAGTATGTATAATTTAATCAAATCATGACTAACTTCTAATAACGGAACAAAATTCGCACATTTTTTGGTCCTTTTTGAGCCAGACGCAGCAAATTATGAATACATACTTAGGTGGTAAATAAAAATATAAACTGGTATCAAACTTCTACATCACGCAATGCCACAGACTTGATTACCACATCGCCGGCTTCCCACTGTCCGCGATATCACGACTGGACAGGCAGAGCATCGCACACTAAGCCTAAATGGCGACACAGACGAATTTATTATAACTTTGCGACAGTCTGTAATATAAGCGATCGTAAGAAGCCAACGTTAAAGTATCCTAATTATCAGCGTATTGGATAGCGTGGTTATCAGCAGGTCGATTATCAAAAAGTTATATGCATTAACAGTAAAAATATGTACATTCTTTCGGTATTGTTAAATAAGGTGAGACCACAAACATACTTGACCTCTTTGAAAATAAATCTTTCGATCCGTACTTACATTTCAGGTGCAACTTTGCATCTTGACTTTAAGAACATCATATTTATGAAACTTAGGTCAAATATGGCATAAGTAGCACCTGGAGTGTAAGTATGGAACGAAACCCTGTCTATACTCAACATCAGTCTCAAAGCGTCTTTTATTCTGCACGGGTGTCTAATGATTCAACAAAAATCGATAAATATTTATATTTTCTTTAAAATCAGTATTTAAACTGCACCACAGTTACTTTATATATTACTTACAACTGTATAAGGTGGCTCGCGCTTTGGATAGGTTTCCTTAAGTACCTACCTATGTCTATGCAAGTTTAGTAGGTACATATTGAGTGCATACGTTACCGGCAATCTGTATAATTTGGCATTCTATACAATACCTAGGCAATCTATTGAATACCATAAACGTCTAGGGAATGTATGAAATATTATTCATTTTATACTTAGCCTATACTTCAATGAAGGTAACTTTAAAAAAAATAAAAAAAATGGTTATTGTATAGGTGCACATTTTCAACTCATTGTGGTAATAAATATTTAATTACGCTTCTGCCAATTTATGCGTAAAATATACATGCAGTCTTCTAAATATGAAATATTACATGATTACTACAAACCACAAAATGGCTCTGGAAAAACCCAAAGAAGCAGAGGTTTGCAACTGCATTTTGTTGTAGTTGTTTTTTTTTGTTTTGAATTATAAAATATGGTCTAAGAGCCAGTGTTCCGCAGATTTACGGTATAGTAGCAAACTTCATATTAATGCTAGTTATACTAATTCATCTGGGGTTCACTATTCCTAGAAACCTAGAAGTCGAAAAGCATGAAAATATTACGTCTAGTAAATATTACGTCTGCGTTATGTATACGTACGTTATGTAGTTGTGTCTACATCAAGAAAATGAGAAAATAAATTTTATCAGTTGTTTAATATCACAGGTATATGGTGGAGCAATTTGTGATTCATCATCATCATCATCATCTGCCTATTAATGTCCCCACTGCTGGGGCACAGGCCTTCCCTATGGATGGAATAGGGAGATTGGGCCATGACCCACCACGCGGGCCCAGTGCGGATTGGTGGGTGCTAACGACTGCAGATGCAGCCGGGACCAACGGCTTAACGTGCCTTCCGAAGCATGGAGGAGCTCGAGATAGTGAATTTTTGGTCACCCATCCAATGACCGACCATTGCGAAAGTTGCTTAACTGCAACGATCGCAGTCGAACACACTAACCACTTGCGCCATCGAGCTCCTCAATTTGTATAACAATTTGTGATTAATATAGGGCAATCATCATCGCCTTCGGTGTTTTTATTTGGGGAAGAGATTGATTAATTAAAAATTAATCTACATATTAGTTTTGCTTGTACTTGATAAGAGCAATATGTTGATAATAGTGCTTTATACAGTAGAATACCTGCATTATACAGATTTCCGGTGACACGTTCACTGGATGCTATTTTTCTTGTCCCTAAAAAGCAAACCGGGCTTAAATTGATGGATACGTGAATGGCAACTGGCAACATTCGCTTCCAAATTGGAACCAAACTTTTTATTGCTGTGTATTCACTTAAGCTCAGAACAGTTCTGAACGAGCAAATTAGTGTTCGATCGCCGTTGCGTTGTTTCCATTGATTCAAGAAAGAGAGCATTCCTTCATTGTGTCCAGTCAAACATCGTTGTTGAACGCGTTCGCTCGCTCTGATGATTCATTCGCTCGCGAGCGAATGATTGTCGCACAGCATTGTTCTATCTGAACACTAAGTGGAATCGCTACACAAGGTGTATGACTGTTCGCACAAAATAGAAAGTACAGAAGGTAATCCCATGTCTATATATACTACATCAATTTTTGTACCTACGCTCCGGTGGTCGCGCTATAGGATAGTCAACTTTAACTTGTGCACAAAGGAATCATAGTGTAGTAAAAGTGGCACTCGTACGTATCTAGTTGTTTGATTCATTGTATTTTTTTAATAATAATAAATTCAAGTTGCAAATGAAAGAGTGAATGTAATTATAAACCAATAATAACGGAAGTAAGTATATTAATTAAAATATAATTTTTATTAAGTAAGGATTAATAAAAAATACTGAAATTAGAAAACATAACCTAACCGTTGGGTTAGGTAGTTATAATAACTTTTTTGTTACTCCATACTTGCACTAAACGTGCAAAGACGCGTGTCAAAGCTCTCAACAGGTCCGAGATATCGTGAGCGGTGTCAATGTATGTGCGTTGCTCTAGCACACTTTATATGTAGATTACCTTATCTAATATCTATTTTGTGCTGTTAGTGTGCATCCAAATGCGAGCCGCCTAATACTTTTGACATTGGTGTCGCGCCAAGCATGATTCTCTTAACCTAAACTTAAATTAGACAAAAGTGGTGTCGATTCCGGCATGTTTCTCTAAACCTAAAACTAAATTTGTAACAACAGTATATCCTTGTCATTCTCTGTACAGAATGAAAAGGAGAGACTGATGTTAAATTTAGTTTTAAGTTTAGAGAATCACGCCAGAATCGACGCCTAAGTACACTTAAAATTGTCTAGCATTATAATGTTTCCATACCATGTATTACAGTTACAGGTTACAGGTCTACTTTGATATACGATGATCTTATGTAAGAACAACCTTAAAACATGGAAGTATTGTCTAAAATCTGATTTAATGGTTATTTTGTTAAGATCGAGAAAAGTATTACAATCTTTTTGATTTAACTCTATTGCTAACGATATAATACTCAGTATAACTTATACATAATTCATTACTCATAATAATACGATTTTTTATTTTAAAACATTAACAATAACAAATTTATTATAATCATTAAGAAATCTTTGGAAAATAAGCTAAGGCATTCATCAAGTATTTATAAGCAAAATTAAGCTAAATATTTATAGTCAGGAAATAATAGGAATTTTACGGATTGTTGGACAAAACTCGCGCCAATAAGTAACAAATGTAATGGCGACGGGAGACATTCTTTCCGTATTATAGAGACAATATAAAGAGATGCTAATCTATGGTAACAGCCAAACATTTTATTTTACATCTTTGCTTCTAAATTCAACAAGTGAGTGTCTAATCAACAAACAGCTTTGCTGCGCTGTACTGTGCTCATGTTAAAATTCGACTGCTGAAAGAATGCAGTGATATAATAGCACGAACCATTATCGAATTCGATCTCGATACGCGACAAACATCAAGAAGTTTTGTATGGAAATTTGAACAGCGCTACAGCGGACGTAACGAGAATTAAAAATCTTCCATACATAATTACTTCTTGACATTTAACGAGTATCGAGATCGAATTCAACTATTCCAATTCTATATTAGTTCGTGCTAAGGGTACAAGACCATGACAGAGTTGTTTTCAATTTTTTTTTACTAGATAGAAAGTGTACTTTATTCGGAAATTATTTTGTTCTTTACACAGAAAGCATTCTTTCGCACTGTAGAAACAAATCAAAGGTGCTGTAAGTGCCGCGCCGCGCTTATTGTTTGATTCCTCATTATCACCTAAAAGGAGCGAATTGACTAAATAGAGCACTTGATGTTGATTGATCACCCTAAGACACGCGTGTTTACTAAATACATTATTTTATTATAGATACTAAAGTCAACACGTGGGTGGGTCTCATTGCTTATTACAGACAAATTATACTGCGTTATTAATATTAACAGTAATTACGTTTTGTTATTTGTATAATGTTTTATATTTTAATAATTTATTATCTTCCTTTTGTCAGTGTCAAATAATTGTCACATAGGATATATAGGTATGAGTGTAAGTCATTATTGTATGTGTTGTGCTGTATTTGTGTTTAGTGGTATGTCTCTGGGTCCACATGCTTGTTTTTAAGTGCTCCTAGGAATCCTTGTTGTTCAGGGTAGGCCCTGCCCATAGACAGAGAATGGAGTGAGCGTTTGCTGCCCAAATGTAACAAAACAGGACAGATAATTTGAGTGACAGACAAAGCGACCGTGCGGCCGTATAATAGTTCGTCTACCTATGGGTTGCACCATAGCTTTCACTTTCTAGAAAGTTGTCAATTTCATGCGAGTGTCGCTCAGCCCATGCTCTATATCTATGGTCCTGCCAGAACTCCAGCCTTCTATTTGTTATAGGCGTTTTGATAAATTACACTATTTTAATGACGTGAAAAGCCAATCGCAAAATATATATAATTCAATGGGAGTCTGTTTTCGAATTCGGATTTTTAATAAGTATTGCAAATTGTATTTAGTTGAATAACATGTTTGAATAAAAATAAAATACCTTATTTTGTACATGTTCAGTAATCATTGATCATATTTGCGTACATCGTATGTAGTAAAATAATAAATAGTCTTGCAATATAAGTGAAAGGGATCGATTAATTTTTATTAAAAGCTTAACACGGTAGATTATTCATCTATGAAAATTTTTGGAAACTGCAAAAAAATAAAATTGATAAGACAGCAAAAGGAAAATAGTTTACTTATATTTTTATTATTCTACTTTGATTCGCCTATCTTATTTTTATCGTTCTTTTTGATGATTCGATTTTTTATATACAAAAATCTTAAAAGTGAACAGTTATGCAACTTTTATGTCAATGTCAAATTTACATGGTCACTTAAATAAAAAATAATTTCAATAATTTTAGTCTTGACTGAGTATTATAGCACATTTTTCTCGTTTGGTTCCAACTTTGCCGGTAAACCAGAATCAACTGACCCAAATACTTTTTTTATACCTTAGTTTACGCCCATCAAAACTCACATTTCAAGATTTATTTAATTTAAAATATAGTTTTGAAGCCCTCGTGATTTCTAGACCAGCGTGTGGTATTGCAAGACGGGGTCGACGAGCGCGTTCTAAGAGCACCAACCATACACGCAAGCAACAAGCAACTGCGCGATGCTTTAATATATAAGATGAAACCCACATTTGTTGTCAAATTGCTTTAAAAAAGGGAACGAAAGAGTTCAATAGTATATTGGATTGATCACGAGCCGTAGACGAGCGCTCGAACGCCGCCCATCACTTTAGCAGCAACCTCGCGATACATTGAACGCGTTAATACCCACATTATAACAATAACATTAGTCAAATTGATTGCGTAAAAGTTCAATATTATGTCGAATTGTCAGATAATATAGTTTTTTATAAGGCTCACGAGCCGTAGACGAGCGCGTAGAGCTGTGACTCGGGGTCTGCGAGCGCGTCGTCGGGCGCTCGCAGCTCGAGCGCTCGACCGCCGCCCATCACTAGCACGCGGCCGCATTCGAGCACGCCAGCGGTGCGATGCGCCACGTACAACACCGTCGAGCCGCCGAACGAGCAACGGATCGTGTTCAATATGATGCGCTCCGTCTCCTGGTCGAGGTTCGCGGTGGCCTCGTCCACTAGTAGAATCTGCGGACGATGTTTTGGATATATAAAACTAATGTACAATTTGCCCCTTGCTCGTGAAAATTAAAATAAAAAAATGGTTGCCTGTAAAGTCGGTTTTACGGGCGAAGATTTTACGTGACAACGTCTTTTTCTCGGTAGAATATTTATTGATATGAATATAATTAAATTGCACAATAGGAACAAGGAATTGAATGAAAATAAGAATTGCACAAATTTTAACTATAGAAATATATTTTGTTTACTAAAACATTGTACATGTAAACTTAAACTTAACACGAGAGACTCATCGTAACGTTACCGAGCGTTACACTTTTTCATAAGTGACTCCCAGCCGCAACCTAATTTAAGACGTTGTCACGTCAAAACTCTAGAACCCCCACTGTAGGGTCGGTCGTGTCCGCGCAAAAGATGGCGAGTGTTATGGATGCGGGCAGGTGTCGCGTACCTTAGGAGTCAGGGTGGTTAGGAAGATCGGGTCTTTGGCATTGTACTAGCTCTCTGCACAGTGATTCTTCACTGCGCTTGACGGTAGATGCTCAAAAGGTCCTTCTTAGGGCCAAGGGGGGCGGGAGAGGGACGGAGAGAACTACGCTCTCTCTCCTACTCCTGCGAGGGTAGCGGGTCTATGGCATTGGGTCGGGGTGGGTCCGTTCGTGGATAATCACTATGCGGGTTGGCGGCCATTTGTAACAGGGTCCCGCAATATCACCCACACTCCTCCGGTGCAGGAGTATTGTCTGGGTAGGACCCTGTTCAGGGGAGGACTCCGTAGATACCTTCTTGCTCCTCCGGTGGCTGAAAGATGCGTAAGAGAACAGGGCCAAGTGTCAGTACCTTGAGGAGGTGCAGCAAGGCGCGCGGCTATGCGCGAGGCATAGCAGCTGCGCGTGTCCGCGGGACGGGTGGTGCACGGGCGCAACGAGCCCCCGTGCCGATGTGTTGTGGAGGCGGGCAGGTGTCACTACCTTGGGGTGGTGCAGCAGGGCGCGCGCGAGGCATAGCAGCTGCGCGTGTCCGCGGGACAGGTGTTGTGCGAGCCCACGCGCGCGTGTGTTATGAAGTTTTTTTTTTTATTTATTTATTTATTTATTTGACATACCATCGACAATTTCACAAATTTTAATAAAGATTTAAGATGTAGGTAGTACTCAACCGTGTGAATTGCCATTGTAGGCATGTACAACATTGACTATATGTAGGTAGGTACTTATACTTTTAACAGAAAAAAAATATTGTTCGGTTTGAACGTTACCATACAGATGATTTTTGAGGGCTTTGAGTGGAGCATGAAAGATGTCAACATCATGGCATATCTCGTTGTATGCATCTTTAATTCTGTTAAACGGTAAAGCTAATTTTGTTTTAAAGGGACAGTTAACGAATGATTTGATGGGTTGGCGGGGGATTTTTCTGGGAACCTTTAACTTAATTTCCGCAAGAAGGTCGTGCGCAACAATATTGCCGTGAAGTAATTTGTGCAGAAATAAAATGTCCGCGGTTTTTCTACGCTTTTCTAAGGTATGAAGTTTAAAGTATTTGAGACGAGTGTGGTAATCCGCACGGTAAGGACACTTCCTGTCTTTGAAAGCAAGAAACCTCGTAAAATTACGTTGAATTCGCACGATTCTATCTGGTTGCGCCAGTATGGCATTTTGAATTGACCGCGTAAAATTCGTATAATCGCCCATCGCCTTATTTTAAATTTAATAGTTAAATTGGCACTTTACTCATTTCCTTTTCCCATCTCCCTCCTGCACATACCTATCTCGCATGCCAGAGTGAGACGACGAATGTCCACTGGGGACATCTAGCGGGTGTTGTAGTTAACATACTTTTTAGCAAATCCGCACCTTTTGTTAATGGCTGCCGTAAATCGCGCTCTTCGTAATTAATTCGTTTGATAAACAAAAACTATAGTTCGAGTGATTCTCATTGTAAAAATAGAAGTGCAAGACTACCCATTTGGTGTTACCCATAAGAATATCAACCGGCCACGAACCCAAGTTCGGTTTTGGATAGCCGGCTCGACGCGTCCACCTCGGGAGCTTCTGGACTGGCCGTTGATTCAAGCTTCAAGGTATTGTGCAACCTTCCTTATTGGTTTCGAACTATTTCCTTTTGTTTTTAATCCACGCAGTTCGAAATCTCCTTTCTTTGATTATTGTGCCAATTTTAAATTTACAGTCCATTATAAAAAACAAATATTTAGCATCACCCGCGCAACCATTTTGGTCCTTCGAGCCGGATTAGTTGAACTTATTAGTTTAATAGAATTTATTCCATTGGGAGTAAACGCACCGCATAGTTATAATTATCTAGCACTAGCAAACCCGGCGAACTTCGTTTCGCCACCAGATGGCTTCGTTTTATGTAACATTTCGTTTGGTGATTAAAAGAGTTTTTTTTAATTTTTCCTAAATTTTCTTTGCTATAAACCTCACGGAGCCCAAGACCTTTCCAACGAAAGCAAAACCGTGGAAATCGGTTCGTGCGTTCTGGAGTTATAGCGTCAGGAAGGAAAACCCGACTTATTTTTATATAGTAGATTTTATTTGTTTATTTGTTCATACCGCTCCGCAACCACGCTAGGAATATAACTCGTAATAGAATTGAATAGGTAGGTAAGTACTTAATCGTTGCAGGTGCATAGGCACTGACGGCGTACAATACCTACTTACCGCTTAGTCTGTTATTTTGGTAGTTTGTTTGTTTACGCAGTCACTAACATAAAAGGAATAACTTTAGTACTTATTAAAATAAAAGTCGCAATTTGATTTGAGAAGGTAACTTTGTTCGTCTACCTACATTCATACGCGTCTGATCTCCGGCGCTATCATTTCACTTCAATATTTAGGTATATTTATTTAGTTTGTTGTTGTTTTTGCAATGCCTCCGAAAATGAATTCGGATGCGCAATTAAAATTGTTGCATGCAAAAAGGGACAACCTATTTGCACGTATGCAATTAATTTGTGATAGCTCGTCGAAAATCGAAGATGAAACAATCAGAGAAATGTTTTTGTGTTCCGTTGAAACCGTGGATAAATTACGCTTAGATTTCGAAAATGTACTCGATAGAATCAATACCCTAGAATTAGAATTAAATCCCGAGTTTTTGGTTAATTACGACGCCTTGTCGTCATTTGAAGATTTAGTTTGTCGTACAAAACGTGTCGCTAAATCGTTAGAAATTCCCGTCGAATCAAAACCTGCGCTGGATAGTGTATGGAGGCAAGATAGACCAAAATTACCGCCTATACAGATACCAGAATTTGATGGTGATATCAAAAACTGGCCTTTGTTTTATGCTTGTTTTGAGAATACGATTCATAGAAATAACGGATTATCGAATCATGAAAAATTACATTATTTAGTTGGTAAACTCACTGGTAAAGCAAAATCTGTTTGTGCTGGAATTACTTTAAGTGGAGAAAATTACAATTTGATTTTGAACTCTTTAAAAATAAAATACGAAAATAAACGTTTAGTTGCAACTACTTATTTAGACCAAATATTTAATTTGAAAAATATTTTAATCAATAATGAGCACGATTTAGAAAAGTTTTTAGACACATTTGTAACAGCAGTTCGCGCCTTAAAGAACCTTAAGTTCGATGACCTCAGCGATTTTTTGTTTTTATATATTGCATTAAGAAAGTTAGATTCCGAAACAGTTCGCTTATTCGAAATGGAGCAACGTAGCAACACTAACATTAAATTCGATGATTTAGAGTTAGACAATTTTATTCGAAACTATATTCAAATTTTGCAACGAACGTCGTCAAAGTCGGAAACGAAAAGGTCAAATATTAGTAAAACTAGTAGTAGTAGTCAGCTGTCCAAGTTAACGCATACTTATGTCAATACGGTTTCGAAAACTTCTCATTTGGAAAAATGCACCTTATGTACAGGCCAACACGATCAATTTTATAAGTGTCCCGGGTTCCTAAAACTCAATCCTATTGAGCGCTATAGATTTGTTCGCAGTAATAATTTGTGTATTAACTGTCTAAGTGATAGACATCGTGTTTCGGTTTGTAGTTCGAATAGTACTTGTCGCAAATGTTATGCCAAACACCATACTTTATTGCACTTCGAAAATAATGTCGCCGCTCATGCGGCCACAGCTGTTGACAGTGCGCCCGCTAACGCTGCATCTAGTAGTCGAGCGCCGTCTGCGACCGTTCGGTCGCCGCCGCCACCACTCGTGCCGCCGTCGTCTTGTGAGCGTAGTCCTCGCAGTCGCACCTATCCTTCTGCTACAATGCGTGCGGGCAGCGATGCCGCTTGCTCGCGTAGTGAGTCGAATGATGTGGCTTTGTGTTCTTCATCGGACTTGCGCACTCCAACTACTGTACTTCTCTCAACCGCTCGGGTTATTGTAATTGATTCTTATGGTAATGAACATAGCGTTCGTGCCCTTTTAGATAGTGCATCGCAAAGTAATTTTGTTAGTGTAAATTGTTGTCGTCGTCTTGGTTTAAACATTAATTCTCATAGTAATTGTAATGTAGTGAAGGGTATAGGGGGCTCCACTAAATCCATTCAGGGTTCCGTATATATTAAATTTCATTCGCGTTTTGATCACAGTATTAGTTTTAATATAGATTCGTTGGTAGTAGATAAAGTCACCGAACTTTTACCAACTGTCGCAGTCAATACGTCAATATTGACCAATTTTAGAAACTTACCTTTAGCCGATGATACTTACGCCGTTCCAGGTGAAATTGATTTGTTGATAGGAGCTTCGATTTTCCCGCACCTCCTGTTACAGCGTAAGATCCGGGGTCATCCGTCGCAACTCGCACCGCACGCTTTGGAGACAGTCCTTGGTTTTGTTGTTGTTGGATCCGCAACCGCTAGTTTAGATTGCAAGTCGTCCGTATCATATTGTTGTACGGCCGAACCGCTGGATGCTGTCGTTCGCAGATTCTGGGAGATAGAAGAAGTGAACGTACCTCCCGTCGTCAGCCCGGATGACAAAATTTGTGAGGAGTTTTACAGTGTCACA